AGGAATAAAATGACCGTTTTCATACCCAAGCCATACTTATGATGCTGCTTTTGTTTCTGTCCTTGAAACCTAAGCTATTGAACATTTGCTAAGGGGACCTCTGTTCCCTTTCTCTTTTCTAGCTCGCTTTGGGATTTTCTACAGGGCAAATTCATGGGCTTAACCAACCTTGGTTTCTCACATGATGTTTTAGTCATGGGAGCTCAGCATCCGGAGTAGGTGGCCTTTAAACCTGAAAGAGGGGACGATGAGGCTGTGGTGGGGATCTAGCACAGCTGGTCTCCAGGAGGGGACAGTCTGTGTTTGCCACAACTTATGCCATAGTTAGTATTCCTACAATGTGGCAGGGTTGGACATCAGAGAGCACAGAGAGTTTTACAGCTCACCCTGTTCTCCTCTGTTAGTTCCCATTGTTCCTGCTGGTCTTGAAGGTCCTGGGTGAAGGCTGTTACTGGATGTGGAGAGCCAGGAGCTGGTGGGATAAGGGTGTGGGGCGGAGGTGGCACTTGAGTGACAGAGTCTAATGGTGTGTGTAGATTCTGCGCCATGGAAGTAGAATGTGGTGTTCTTCCCTTTCAGAATCCCTACCATGACCTAAATCGTGTATTTCTCATAATTTAGATCATTGTTTGACTTTAGGCTTCCATAGTCAGAGGTAATTCCATTGGCATGAAGCTTTAATTAAGAAAATTATTAGGAAAGCAGATTCCCCCTTCCAATTCCTAATTAACTTACAGGCAAATTTGTTTTCTGCTGTTTATTTACATTTTGCTTCAGACTTTGGCTGCATGTTAGCTAAAGTGAGTTTGTTAGTTCAAGGTTTTCAGAAAAATAACCTGAAATTTCTAGTTACCACATAGAATTTTTTTCCTCCTGTTATAATTAAACTTCTTGATGTTCATTTCATACACCACAATGTTTGTTTCATCAGGAATAAAACATGAGAGCATTCATATGATTATTCGACCATCTGAAAGCATTCTGAAGCAGGTCTTCGATTTTTACATGTAGAAATTTGCTTAATATCCACTTTTGGGGGGGAATTAACAACACAAGAGCAAAAAGAAACAATTGATTGGAATCCTAGCACATGCAATCTGATTCTTCGCCCTCTGGGGCACAGATTTAACACATGCATTGCTTTACCCTTCCTGATACTGGAGGGAAGGTAATAGACCTGCTGGCTCAACCTTTCCTTTCTTCCTCCTTTGATACAGGTGAGGGCTACTGTGGAATATTTGGGGTCACACCAGGGTTAAAAGCCCACACAACTACAACTAAACTCAAAGTTTAATATGCAGCCTCTATGGTAACTATGCATATCAAAGAAGTAGTTTGTGAAGAGAGAAAGATGAGCAATAAAAGAATGTAAAAGGAAGATAAAGAGTGGAAAAAAGTGAAAGGATAGAGAAGACAGGGTGAGCACAAATTGAGACCTGCCCATAGAACACCCCAAAATTCTCCTCTCATAGCCAACCCCCCCCCCACCGCCCCCCGCTTGCCACAAGCAGATAGGAAACACCAGGTTGCTTTTATCCAGTCCAGTGTTTTGGATTTCAAATTTTCAAGTAGTGAAATGGATTCTTTTGTCAAATGAAATCTTATATGGATGCCCAAAATATAAAGATGAATGAAAGAGTGGGTTTTTAAATTCAACTCATTGAAACGACAAATAAAATAATTTACCCATTTCTCCTATTCCCCAACCTCTGCCTCTCACAATCACCAATCCCTTCTCTGTACCTCTGAAGCTGGGTTTATTTTTTTTTTAAGATTACACATAAGAGAGGTCATACAGTATTTGTCTTTCAATGCCTGACTGACTTCACTTAGCATAATGCCCTTGAGAGCTATCCGTGTTGTGGCAAATAACAGGATTTCATTACTTTTTTATGGCTGAATAATATTTCCTTTTGTGTATTTACTACAAGTTCCTTATCCATTCATCCATCTGTGAAAACTTAGATTGCTTTCATATCTTGGCTATTGTTAAGTCACGCAGTAATGTGCATGGTGGTACATACATCTTTTCAAATGTATTCTCATTTTCTTCAGATAAACCCACAACAGTGGAGTTGCTAGATCATATAGTAGTTCTATTTTTAATTTTTTAAGGAACTTCCATACTGTTTTTCATAGTGGTTACACAATTGACATTCCCACCAGCAGTACAGCATGGCTCCCTTCTCTCCACCTCCTCACCAGCACTTTTTTCTCGTATTTTTGGTAACAGCCATTCTAATGGCCGTGAGGTGATATCTAGATCACCATGGTTTTGATTTGCATTTTCCTGATTAATGATGTCAAGTATCTTTTCATATACCTGTTGGCCATCTGAATGTCTTCTAAGTTCATGTTTTATTAATACGAATGTATAAGTTAACGTTTATAACATTTCCTTAGCATGAAATTAATTGGCGAGAACAAGACTCTTAAATAAACACAAGAATTTGAAATTTGAGAATATGGGTAACATTTCTTTTTTATCAACCACTATATCCAATTTATGTGTTTTCTTTTAAATGCAGGGTATTAGAAAGTTCTTGTTTCATATTAAAGGCAAATAATATCTAACTGTTAAAACTTCTCAAAACATACGAACAGAATTTTAAACAGTTTTAGGTTTTTGAAGGAGAAATTGGTAAATTTGGGTCTGAAAGCTGATCGCTGTACGTTCCAAACAGAGATGTCATCAGTACTTACAACAAGTGAGCGCTCCCGTGTTTGCCTATTTCCAGTGGGACTGAGCACCCTCTTTGTGAGTGCCCTGTGCGCCTTCTACCATACAACACCGTGTGCTGCAGCCTCCAGAGCATCCCTACATGGCTAGACCCGTGACTTTGGTGGCATTTAATTGACCTTACATATCTAAATTTTAAAGAAAGAACAGTACAGGGCTATATCCTTACAAATGAACAACACACCTACAGTCAAACACATGCACAGACGAGGCAGGAGACACTAACCTTGAGGTCGGCACACACCGACTTAACCTGGCAGCATGTCAGCATACTGTTGGGCTAGTGTGTGCACATTCCAGACAGATACTGCTTTTAATTACAGTTCAATATGTGATTGTCTGAATCAAATATTAGGAGGTTCCTATGCATCTCCTTCAAACCCTAGTGTCAGAATTCCTACTCTGTACCAACATCCCAAGTTCAGCTGACGTGGCACCGAATTGCCTGGGTGCCAAAAAACTATTCTGGGGACATAGGTGAGCCTGTATTTTCCTGAGGTTTATGGTCACTTCATTCTGTTGTGGTGCCCTCTCTGCCTGTTGGATTTTTGTAATAAATTTATGTTTTTCATTAGGATATCCCCAGCGCATTCTCAGAAGAAAGTCCTGGTACCTTAGTTTGGTTTTCAGGGTCCCTCTCTCACTTTTTAAAGCTATTGCTCCGAACATGGCACCCAAACAGACCTCATTTTCATTTGCTTTTCTTTCTGCATTTTGCTTTTGCTTCTTCTTTACCTTATGTCTAAGGGAAAATGACTTTCCCTTATGTCTAAATCTTTTTGATAAAAAATTTAGAAGTGATTATCATTTTCATTTTTGGTGCAGCAATATAGGTAACATATATACAGAGATATGCACAATATATAAAGCTTATAAAAATATTTAGTGACATGGACAGGTTTTCCCATTATATTAAGTGGAAAGGCAAACTGAAAAAATTATGATTCTGTTTTTCTTTTCCTTGGAAAGAAAAGTATATAGGAAAAAAGTGCTGAAAGTTTCTACCTACACAAAAATGTTACTAGTTGGTGGACTGGAGAAGAGGTTTATTTTGCATATTGGTATTTATGTTTCAACAGTAGACCTGTTTTGTTTTTGTAATAAGACATGATTTAAAACTTATCTCTAAAATGTGATACCTTAGCTCATCCTTAACATAAAATTTTAGAGTATCTTAACCCAAAACTCTTCCCAAATTGTTCTCATGATTACTTGTATATTCAGTTATTTAAAAAAAATGTTTGATTAGTGTTAGTGGCACTAAGGTTGAAAGTAATGCTGATTAGTGTTCAGCACAGAATAGTATTTTTGATACCCTTTTGTGTCAGTCCACTGACCTTTGCTTTGGAAATGATCAGACTACCCATCCACTCATAATTCAGTGATACCCCTAATTTCCATGGGTTGGGTCACACCTAAGATAGTCACTAATGAAAGAAGAATTGAGATTTACTATTTCCTAAGACCTGGGTAGCATTTTTCAGATATATTTTCCTTGGATGTGAGGGCGATCTTGCTGCGACATCTGTCACCCCACTGATAGCCAGGGTTGATTCGGCTGATCTGGCTGGCTAGGCGGGTGTCCCCTTCCTCCCTCACCGATCCATGTGCGTCCCTCCCGAAGCTGCGCGCTCGGTCGAAGAGGACGACCTTCCCAACTAGAGGAGAGGACTGGTCTTCAGTCAAGGGTATACGAGTAGCTGTGCTCCCCTGCTAGAACCTCCAAACAAGCTCTCAAATATATTTTCCTCCAATAAGAAAGGGGCATGTAGTTCTGCTGTGTCGTGGTTGTGAACAACATGTGCACAAGGAAATTTGACTGTTGTTTCTGGTGAAGGTCATAGGGGACACCTTCCTGTCCGCTTGGTCACCCTGGAGTCCTAATATCTTGCTTTGCAATTTGTTTCTGCGTTCACAGCCCATATGCTTCTTCCAAAACAAAGAGGCTATATTTGGTAGTCACTGATAATTTTTTTAAAGTGGATTAGGCAGTTTTCCTTGAAACTGCGTTCCTAATTGAGCATGAAGTAGAATTAAATAGTAGAAATGAAGGAATTTATTCGGAGATATCAAAATAGGAAGGAGAATTGTTTGGTTACACCGCAGACTGTAGGAGGGCTGAGGAATGGATTGAAGAAAATTATCAAGCATGCATGTTGTTTTTAAGTGATACTTGAGACCGGGATGTGAAACAGCTGTGTTGTTGGGGGTGCTTTCTTGTGCCAACTTTCCTTATTTGATTGATTTTTCTCTCTGACAGCCCACTGTGCTGATAAATGTGTCCATGGTCGCTGCATCGCTCCAAACACCTGTCAGTGTGAGCCTGGCTGGGGGGGCACCAACTGCTCCAGTGGTGAGTTTCCACCTGCTGTTGTCTGTCTTGGGATGTTTGTGCTGGAAGGGCCCCTTGTCTGCAGATTACGCTGAGCCACGGTTTCCCTCTTCATCCCTATGCAGAATGTGGTGTGGATTCCCGACCCTACTCAGCAACACAGTTCCCTTTAAATCTGTGCATGCATTGTATACAGAACTGTTGTTCACTGAGTATAAAGAAAGGTACTTGGAACAAAGGACATTTCAATAGTCTGGTGCTGGTACTTTTGTAAATACAAATGCATTTTCCAGAGTAGGGCCACTGTGGTAACATAGTTACTGTCTTCTAACTTCTGTTTTTACCTGTTGATTTATCTGTGATATTTTCTAGGGGATCAGAATTTACTGTTGGTTTGTTTCAACTCAGAAATAAAATTGATGTTTTTAGTGCTGAAGCTATTTTTCTCTACATTCTGAGATGCAGATAATGAGCACTGGCTGAGATAACTTTGGGTAGAAATATGGGTAATAAATGAAAATTCATTAGCAGTTTGGTATTTATTTAAACATAATATTGTATATAATGTTTCTCTGTTATGTTACAATTATAATTCTACGGTATGATATTTTGGACTATAAGCAGGTTGCACTTAAAATCTCATCTTCTTTATTGTGAGTATTAAATAATGGAATGTCATGTAACACAGCTGCTTTTCTAAATTTCACAGTTAAAACTTTAGTTTTCTGGCTGATTTGTTGCTGTGTGTGTAATTGTGAACACTTCCTGCTCCCTTATACTTAATTTTTCTTTGAAAATATGAGAAGGAATCAAAGAGCAACTAAATGGTAATGCACAAATCATTATGTTTAGAGAAAGGAAATAATAGTGTTAAAAATTAGCAGGCTCTCATGACAGCACAAGTTTGTCCTCATTGCTACAAAAGAATGTTCTGAAACTAGTCTGAAAGGACTTCACACTGTCTAGGTAAGCTGGTTTGCAGAATTTTTACTTGCATGTACTTGGAATCAGGGTGGCTTTATCTTGTTAGAACTGCTTGCTTCAGTTGTGTGATCGCTTGGCTGTGCCTTGTGCTGACTGTGCGCAGAACATTCTGTGTGAAAGAGCCCATTATTGTATCTTAGACAGGGAGTGTGTGTGTGTGTGTGTGTGCGTGCGCGCGTGCGCCTGTGAGCGTGGGCTTCTTCCCCTGACAGGCTTCCAATTCCAATGGTAACTGTCTCACAGGGTTTTGTTTTGCTTCTGCTGGAGATCGGGAGGAGAGTGGGCATTTTGTTCACATGCCATTGAGGCAAAATGTTTGGGATGTGGGCTTTGGCTCATGTCCATTTTTCTGGCCAACTGACCTCAAATGTAATGTGGCTTTCATGAACTTTTCCAGCTTAAAAATCAGTTGCGCCTACACATTTTGAGGAAAAATAACATTATTATATAAACTAGTGGGAAAGAGAAGAGTGGATGTATTGGTCATTTGAAAAGTGAGGTTTGTTGATAATTCTAAGGCAAGAATGTGTGGAATAATTTCAGCTGTGTACATACTTTGTCTCCCAAGGACCACAGCCTATATGTCAAGCTCAGAGATCAGACTGAAGCATGTTTTTGTAAACAAAACAAAAGCCCACATGGGTCTCAGACTCTCAAGAACTGGTTTTGGCCATCTCTAAAATAAACTGGCGCTTTATTTTCAGGTTAGGCCTTCTCATAAGAAACTGCTTTATTTTGGAGTTGACTTCATTTTGAAGGAGGCCGCTAGAATTCTGAGAGGATGTTCCTTCAATCCTGGGAGATGATACTGACACAACTTTTAGTTTATTCTCTACAACTCATGTTTTGGCTTATTAATAATGAACAAAAGCATAAGTCAACATGGACAGATATCTGATGTCTTCGAAGATGTTTAGAGAAAAACCTTTCTGGCACCTTCTTGAAGCACATAAGAAAATGCTATTCAGAGCAGGGGCACTGGGTCTGGTTACCTGGTTTTATCTGTGCCAATTACCCTACTATCACTCATTAGGAGTTGTAGAGTTTATTTATTCTTGGCCAGATGGTTCTTGAAAGGAAATGTGTGCTCTAGTAATCTAATGAGTAACAGAGCTAGAATGGCCTCATTTTCAAAGATTCTATGTCCCTTCTTCTCTGGTTATTTTTATACATATATTTGATGATACATAATAGATCCACAAAATGATTGCTCTGATAATGAGTAGTTCCTTATATCAGTCAGTGTCCAATCAGGAGACAGAAACCACAGTAATTTTTTTGGATAAAACTTTTATTTTGGAACAATTTTAATTTTACAGAAAAGTTGCAAACATAATAGAGTTCTCATATACTTGCATTCAGTCCACCCCCCTACCCCCTGCCCACGTTAACATCTTACCATAAAGTTGTCAAACTAAGAAGCTGACCTTAGTGCATTACTGAATGGCACACTGCCTTCTGGAACTTGCTAGAAATCTACCCTATATGGCACTTGGGAAAGCTCTTAATGGAGAAGTGTCTTATCAGAAGCTCTCTGCTACAAGAGAGCCCCAGGAGGGCTACCCAGGGAAGTTGCTGGCTGACGGGGACTGCTAGCCAGCGTATGGCAGGAGCTGGATGCTAGAGAAGCTGCTACAGGAGGCTAGAGCCTCTCTTGCAGAAACCTGGCACTGCGACAGCTGCAGATGCCACAGAGTCAGATGCTGGAGAAGCCATTCTCACCTACTGTGCTCACAGGGCAGGTTCTGGGTGCTGGAGAAGCCACGTGCACTTCAGGAGTCAGTAGAGCTAGCACCCAGGAACCACCACGGAAAACTTTTCCTCCCGGAATGTCTCTCCAATGCTCTCTAAAGAAAATGTTAAGCATTTGGCCAGCCGGAAACGGAAAAATATTTAAAGGGCCCATATCCATTTTTGCAAAGCAGGCAATGGAGGATGAATTTAGCGCTGAGTGGCAATAACGTGATAACTGTTACAATCCATGCCTCTAGTTATACAGCTCCTCTATGCACATTTCTACACACATTTGAATTATTTTTGATCAACAAACAACTCTATATTTCCATCTAATAATATATAGCTATCCATCTTCTAAGTAGAGACCTGCTCACTTTCTTCCTCAAGTGACAAGATCAAGTCCCAACAGTTGTGTATCCATTGCTGGTTAAATTAATTTTTTTCTCACATTCAGTCATAGCTCCACTGAATATTGTTATCTAGATACTAAAGTTAACGCCCAACAACTTGTTTATAAAATAAAATAAAAATGGGAAGAGGAAAAAGTTCTATAAATGAACACATCCATGTAACAAGCAAATAGAAAATATTAAAAACTACTCCAGGCCCCTTTTCTGTAAGTAGCCCCAAAGCTGTGATAATATGTGTGGCTTCCTTCTTCCTCTCAGCATTGCCTGTGCACCCCTTCTCAGCCGAGATCCCGCCGGCTTGGCGTTCTTTACATTGTAGAGTGACAAGACCTTCCTTCCTGAAGGACCTGATTTCTCCGTTGTCCTGCCTTTTAAAAAAAAGTTGTTGATGTTTTCTACTAACAATTACTATTAACAATCTACTAGTGGGCACAAAAGTACTAAGAGGTGCCCCCCCAGAGTCCCTTGCTTTTCAGACGTAGTCTTCCTCCCTCCTGTTGTGTACCAGCAGCCCGGTTTCCTCTTGATAGTCAGGATCGATCATTTCATCTAGAAGAGTGAGTACTTTTATTTACATTAAGAGGCTAAAATGACCAGATGGCAATAAATTGGTAACTGTCACATAGAACTCTCTCTCTGTATTTTTTTCCTTCCTAATACACTTGGGAGATTAAGGAACTAACAGATACTTCCCACCTGTACAGGTTAAGAAAGGCTTCCCTTGGAGATTTAATCTGTTTACCTTGTCAGTGGAGGGAAGGATTCTTGTATATGATATACAGTCAGTGTTCCTGGGTCTCAATGTATTCTCTTTATAAAAAACCAGTGTGTCAGAGAACTGTACAGAGTTTGTTCACCCAGAGTGAAATCAAGATTTATTTGACTAGACTCGGACATATTGCTTCTTTTTAGATTTGATTAAATGATTTTTTAAAAAAGCACACACATATTTTACTTTTATTGGCATCCTAATGTATACCCTAGCCTATATGACATTAATCTATCTTACCTGCATCTCTCCCTTCACTCCTCTCTTTCCTGCTCTCTGATTATCCCCCTCCCTCATCAATCTCTCTCTCCCATCATCAATCCTCTCTCCCCTTCCTCCCTCACTGGATGACAAACCGCTCCTCAAAGGCAAGGGCTGTGTGTTATTAATCTCTGTAGCATCTATTGTGCCTGGTATGTGGTTGGAGCACAGTACATGTTTGTTCCATTTAATTAGATTAAATGAACCATATGATTCTGTATGATTCTGAGAGGGTCATTTGGGTATTCATGATGCAAATGTCCACTGAGTGTTCACCGTATGCAAGGCACTGTACTGGATGCTGGGGGTTGGAAACAAATGTGGAACAAAGCTCATGGTTTGAGAAAAGTAGACAGCAATGCGAGTGTCTCATTGTGAGAAAGAGAACAGCCTCGGTCATAGCAGTGGATTGAGGAAGGAAAATGGAGTTACGTAAGGTAGTGCAAGGGTTTCTGGGTGGACTAGGGCAAGAAGGATGTAATGTTTTGCTGTGGGGCAAGGGGGGATGAAAAGAAGATGATAAAGTATAGACTATCCTTCCAGAAACTTAGCTGAGACTTGTTCCAACAGGGAGGAGCAAAGAGGGAGTTAGTAAAAAGGTAAATGTAGGCTCAAGGAAAGTTTTGCGTTTGTTTGCATTTGTTTATGTTTTAAGGTGAAAAAGATTTAGAGGCTGAGAGAGAGGTGAAAAAAAGGAGAGAGACTGGAGATTCAGTTGAGAGAGAAGATCATTTAATTGCGGGAACCAGGCTTCTGAGAAGAGAGTTGAGGGATGGGACGGGATCCCAGGAACTGATTAGCAGGAAGAAGTACTTCCCACTCCCACCAGAAGGAGGAGGAAAGAGTGGTGCACAGGGATG